GAACTCTTAAGTGGGAAATAGTTTTGTAAAGTTATAGCCTGGTTTCTTTGGAAACCATAGATATATTGGAAATGTTTTATAACACCTTTACACTTGAGGGCTCCAATTTATAGACTTGAATCCCCAGTTCTCATATAATCTTTTGCTGTAATGTTGAGAGGAAACATGGCTTGGCTAAAATCAAAGATGTTGACTTAAATTTCTATTCTGATTTTCTTTTTCTGAAAGTTACATTTGCAATATGCATTTTTATATGTATTAATATGTTCACGTAGCTTTATCTCAGAGATAATCTGAATAGACTAGGTAGTATGTGTTATATACAACCTTATGGTGTACTGTGACTGCTGGAAAAGGCAGCCTCTGAAACACTGAATGGTTTCTTCGTTATCTACCACTTTGCCAAAATATTCCTGCTTGGTGTATTATGTTAACAAAATGGTGAATGTTTATGCTTGTTTTTTGGATACAGCGTTTGGCACCGTGGTAATGTGTTAAGATATTTTTAGTAAAGGAAAAATATGGTCCTAGTTTATATAAAAGCGTGTTGAATTTTAACAGCATCACAATTGTTCCATTTTCTTGGCTCTCAGTGTTCACGTAGTCTCTCCCCCATGACATTTTGCTGCCCTGTGGGAAGTCATCCACTGTTACTTAACCTGTTGTATGCTTTCCCACTCCACTACTTTTACTTCTGCTTCATTTTATTTTTTTACCCTTATTCCCCCAATCTCTCATATTTGAAATTTTACCTTTTCTCATATTCTGTAAATGCCACCGCTTCCATCAGATGGTAGCTCACGATCCTTTAATGCCCTTCATTTTGTTTGTATTTCCTTTATGTTCTGCCTTGCATCATCATTTATTCATCTATTACTTCAGCAGCTATTTGAGCAAAAAGCTGTATTTTACTCATCTTTGTTTCTGTATGACCTAGCACAGAGGATTTTTACGTAGTGGGACTTTAATTTAAAAAGTTCTTTAATTGGCATATGTGACTTGACTGGGAAATAAGAGATAGTGGAGCTTTGCTTGTAGGCAGGTTATTTCCTAATGATAATGTGGGAGAGAGGTTTGATTTGTTCTTTTTTGACATTTGTATTTGTTTCTATGTCCTTTACAATTAAGCTCATTAATTGTAGTTTTTCTCCAGCTTTAATTCTGGGGTGACATTCGTGTACTTATTTGAGGTGTAGTTGATTACCCACCCTTAGTAGGCAAGTTGTGACACGTTTGATGGATAGTTTGTAGTTGCTGATGAATTATTTTTGGACTTTCAAAGTTTGCAGAGCATTCCTACCACTATTATTAATAATAATATGTATTTATTACTTACTGTGTGTCATAAACTTTACTATAAAAATTCTTTAAAAAACTGTACTTTTAATAGCAGTCCATAAGACTAAAATATTTTATTACCAAATATAGTTAAGGCATCTAATCTTCTTGTAACTTTTAAGAACATTACATATTTTAATATTGGCTTGAGGAGTTTTGTTTGTTATTCTATTCCCCTGATTATACCTTTAAATTTGTTTTGTAGGGAATCTTTTGTTCATTTTGTTTATGTAAAGTTTTGCCACATACATATATATTGGCTTGCAAAACTGGTTCTGTTTTAGGTGAAGAATTAATACTTTTGCACATTTCCAATTCTAGGAAACCAGTTTACATAATGGTAAAATTATGGAGTGATTGTTTTAAGAATATGCCGTCTAGATGTTTCTTTTTATTTTTCTACTCTACATGCATAAAATATTCCTACAATCATTTTACATTTATTGTTACTTCTATTTAGAAGAAAGAAGCCTTTCCTTAGGAGTTTGTGGAAAATTTTGACTATCAAACAAGACACACAGTCTCTTCCTTTCCCTTTGTTCTTATATTCCTTTTTTTTTTTATACGATTCACTGTGTGAATTAGTTTGATCCATGATTTTTATCTACGGTGTGCCTTGGCACTTGGGAGCAAATGATGGAGAGTGAAGAAAAGCCTCCGTCCTCAAGAAGTGTGTAATCTGATGGAGCTGCCGGCACTAACAGACGTTTAGAGAGTGATTGGATAGTGGGATAGTGGCTGAGTTACAGACGACAGTGCAGTGCGATTAAAGGGAACACAGTGATTGTGATTCCAGGCAGAGCGGAGTGTGTTCTGACTGAGTTCAGACGTACGTGTTCAAACAGGAGCCCCTGAAAGCAGCGGGCATTTTATAGGGACGTGGCGTCAGGCGCGTGTCTGGGCTGAATTCTGCTTTGTGTGCTGTGTTTCTTTCTGCCTTTCTTGATTTTTCTCTCCCTCAGTTCCAGGTTTCTTAGTCTGGTGTTTAAGTGTTGCATGTCACCACTTTGAAATTACTTCGAGTCTGTCTGCTCTCAGTGATATAATTGCTTAGTGTTCTAGGAAGGAATGGCATTTGACCTTTTATGTACATATACAGATTGTACATTTTATTTATTTTTTTTACAGATACATCACCTTTGTGAAATGAGCATTTGTGAGATATTTATAAATCATGTTTTCCCTCTGACATTCTTAATAACTTTGGAAATTTGTTTCACTGTCATTTGGAGTGTGTGTGTGTGTCCTTTACAGGTGGAAAAAAAATAGGCATGAGGAGACCTAAGTTGCTATTAACTAAGGTTAATAGCCAAGTTGCAGCTAAAACCTGCGTCTTTCCCTTTAGGTTAGTCAATAGGTAGTATATATAGGGAGAACCTCAGCATGGAGTTAATGCCATTTACACAGTTGAGATGACAGTGCTCATTCACTGCAGTCTATTTGAATTTCCAACTTGTTTCACATCTGATAGTTTTCATTCTTAGAAATTTTTGTAATCTTCAGTTTTTGTGTGTGTGAATAGTCCCAAGTACATTTATTTGCCACTGGTGCTGTGGAATTACTAGGGAGGCATACCCTCGCTCGGGCTTTATTCCTTCCCTCAGCTTGCGGTATCTGAAGCTGGTATTTCAAATGCCTGTGCACCTTTAGGGAGGGAGAGTGCCAGGAATTTCTGATCTCTTTTTCTGTTTCATGTCTCACTGTCAATTCAGATTTCCACTGTACTCAGGGAAGTGACCTGTGGATATGCTAATTAGTCGGAACCCTCCCGCAAATAATGTGGGTTTAACACATGTCTGTTGAAACTCTTCTGTGCCGTTGTCCAAGGTGCTGCACAGTGAGTGTGGTAGATAAATCCCTACCGGGATACAGCTCCCCCTGTTACCGTGCTGGGTTTCTTATCGCACTCACAGGATCTAATTGCAGCAAAATCAGTGATGGCAGTATCTTTAATCTTTTTACTTTTTTGATTAGTGTATTTTTATAAGTTGAGTTTTGGTACTGAAGAAGCATTTTCTTTTTCATGCACTTTTAATTCTGCAGGTTTAGTTTTTATGATTTTACCTTCTCTTTTCAATTTATCAGAATTTTAAATGTAAACAACTATTATCTTAAGTTTCAGGTTTATTGCTCTAATATTTTCTTTTAGCTTGAATCAACTGAGAAGAAATAATTTTATAGTAATTGTATAAATTTAAGATATAAATTAAAATCCTAAAGATATATGAGCTACGCTCTTCCTTTTTTCTTTTCTACAAATGAAAACTATGCCCCGTGATAAAATAATCTAGAGTGTCTCTACTTGGCAAGTTTGGTCCTAAAATTAACCATATAATTTTTGTATATTTAATTAGTGGTGATTCATTAAGAATTCTTGTTAAATATTATTTTGACTGTAAAATGATTTTAAATTCTGATTTCTTTTTGTGTACTTAAATGTTTGAGATTAATTTGAATAAAGCCAAATAATTAAATTATATATCTGTAATAATGTTTTGATTAATTAGTGTGGCAGAGAGTGGGTATCTGTATTATTGAAATTTCCCAGTTAACTGAAGTTTTATCTGATTATGCAGTGAACTTGCATAGGATAAGGATGCAAGGATAAGGGCTTGTCTGTTAAGCTCTTTTTGGTTGCATATCCATAGAAGCTCCATAATGTATCTTTAGAAGAGCTTTAGGTTCATAATCGGTTCATTAATTATAGTGTCAGTATACTTTGAAGGAAGCCTCATGGGAGTACAGAAGTAACCTTGTGAACCTTTTTTTAAAAAAATATTTATTTATTTGTTTTTGACTGTATCGGGTCTTCGTTGCAACACTCAGGATCTTTCATTGCGACCTGCAGACTCTCTAGTTCCAGCTCGTGGGCTCAGTTGGCCCGCCCTTGGTAAATGGGATCTTAGTTTTCCAACCAGGGATTGAACCCGAGACCCCTGCCTTGAAAGGCAGATTCTTAACCTCTGGACCACCAGGGAAGTCCCTTATGAACCTCTTATGGCGGAAAATCTGTTCAGGGTTCCAATACTGATTATGACCCGAAAGTCACTGAAATGTCCACTGGTTATCTGTGGGGACAGATTTTAGAGCATTGTAGATGAAGAAAGGTCTTCCCTGGAGGCCCAGACAGTAAAGAATCTGCCTGCAGTGCGAGAGACCTGAGTTCAGTCCCTGGGTCGGCAAGATCCCCTGGAGAAGGGAATGGCTACCCACTCCAGTATTCTTGCCTGGAGAATTCCATGGACAGAGGAGCCAGTGGGCTACAGTCCATGGGGTCGCAAAGAGTCGGACACGACTGAGCGACTAACACACTTAGGATGAAGAAACTGTGTATATGTATAATAGGAATTAGGTAGTCACTTTTTTTCTTTTTGTTTAACATCTGAATTTTCTCAACTACTAGTTGATACACCAGGAATTGAAAATAAAATCTGAATCTTCAAACTGGCTAGTATTTTCCTCCAATAGATGGGTGGTTTTTAGTGTTTGACTTTTTCCTAACTTTCCACAAACTTTCTTCTTGTTTTCTGTCAGTTTGTCTCCTTGGTCAGTGTTTCCCAGGAGATTTGTCAGGGTTAAGACAGATGATTATTTATTTCTGTGCAGATAGAATTATAGCAACTACAAGTACTATAATTTTTTTGTTTTGTTTTCCCTTAAAGGAGGAATTCCGAGAACTTCGAGAACAACCTAGTGACCCTCAAGCTGAACAAGAACTAATTAATAGTATTGAACAAGTGTATTTTTCTACAGATTCATTTGATATTGTTAAATATGAACTGGAGGTAAAAAAAAAATTCATTAAAACCTATCTAAAGCCTATTTTGTTCAGTGATTTAACTTTGTGAGTGAAATATGAATGGTTTTTAGGGTCATTGTCTTTATTTATGTTTGATACTAGGACCGATCTGTGATAACCACATTGTGATTAAATGAACTTTCAGCATTGTTTAAAGATGAGATTATTTTTTAAAATGTAAGGTTAAGTGCAGCTATAGGATATTGGTCCAAGAAACATTTTTGTATTTTTTGTTTTTAACTCTCAGCACACAATTATGTTAGTGTACTGCCTCTATCTTATTTTACATTGGCTAAATATGTTTAGGAGAGCTCTGAGACTTTTAATCATGAAAGTGTATTTACATCATTATTTAGTTGTGATAAATACCCCTGTGCCATAATGTTTATAACTTTGGCATTTTAAATTTATAGGAATTTCAAAGAAAAAGTCAGAATAGTAAAATCTGGGTTTTAGATGAAACCAAATGCTGCATGCATGCGTGCTACATATGTAGTACCTAGAGTTAGTACCCAGCTTATTCCAAAATTTCGTCATCAGTTGACTGAGACTGGAGGTCTGACTTGGTATTTTCCCATCTTCACCATGGCATGCATTTTTGTTAGTTCTCACACTGCCCTCCAGGCTGCCCTGGTGGCTCAGATGGTAAAGAATCTGCCTGGAATGCGGGAGACCTGGGTTCGATCCCTGGGTCAGAAAGATCGCCTGGAGAAGGGACTGGCAACCCACTCCAGGATTCTGGCCTGGAGAATCCCATGGACAGAGGACCGCACGCTGGGGTCCATGGAGTTGCAAGGAGTCAGACACAGCTGAGCTACTACACTTTCACTTTCATACTGTCCTCTGGAGTATGTGTAATCTGTGTCTTCAAATAACCGTCACTATCACCCTACACGTGGAGGGGTTCATTTCCATTCATAGTATTTCAGAGGGGAAGTAGGTTTTGAGTTCTGTTGTGGATGAATAGGGAGATGCCAGTGGCTGGTAGAGTGGGGAATTAGGGTTAGGAACTTTCTCGCGTTCTCCTGTTACAGGTCTTGGAAGCAGAGTTTCCCAGCTTAGGGGCCGGGAGTCCCCACAGGAGTGGGATTTCCAGGAGGTTGGAGATGGCGGCAGTGGAGATAGCAGAGGGAGGGTGGAGCTTGAGCCTCAAAGGGTTAGTAATACAGGCTGGGGTCTGGGGTCTAGTTCAGAGGTAGGGAGGATGGGACGAGTGGGGTGTGACACTGTTTTGTATGTGCAGATTGCAATTCCTCACTTAGGTGTGCAGGGAAGTGAAACTAAATTAAACAATTGATTTTTTCACTCTTTATTTATGGATTTTTCCTTTTAGAAGCTCCCTCCTGTTCTCAATTTGCAAGAATTAGAGGAGTACAGAGACAAATTGAAACAACAGCAGGCTGCAGTAAGTAAAAAACACATTTCTGACAAAACTGTAAAGGAAACGCATTAGAGAAGTGTAATGTTTGCAGGTTTTATGGCTTCACTAATACGCTAACATTTTAAACAAATCTTATTATTTGACATGACTTTGACTCAATGATACATTTATATGTATGCACATTTACTATCCAGTTCCCCTCATATTACCGTGATAGATTTGCTTCTAGAACTTGGTGTTCTTTCTCTGGAATCCTAAACATGATGAAAGAATTTTGAATTTATTTTTCTCAAATTACTAAGTACCTTCTTAGATTGCTTCTTGTCACATGTGTGTGACTTTCCTATCCATTTTTTTTAAATCCATAGTTTTATGATAGATAGAACGTTCTTATATCAGAGTAGAGGCTCCCACTTCTAGTTGAAAGGTCCAAAGACAATACAGGGTTAAGGTTCAGAAAGTCTGAACTGCTGTCACTATTAATCGTATGACATTGGGCAAGTCACTTTGCCTTGCTAAATCTTTCGTGTCATCTGTGAAGTAGTGGGCTGGGCCTGCATTTTACCTAATGATGTAAAATTCTGTGATTTTCTATTTTGCTTGTGTTAGGCTGAATTCCTATTATAAAACTCAGACTGTACTGTAGGAGATTAAGTAATGGTAGTAAGTAGTCTTGTTAATTTTTTAATACTAAAAGCAGTAATAATGCATTCAGCCATTTTAATTTAAGATATGATCTTTAATAATACATGCAACAAATAAAGGAAGATATACTTCTGTATCTTTTGTGTTATACCCAGAGGCCTCAGTGGGTCTGGGATCCCCTAGAGGGCGGCAGCTGTAGCGTGGGGAAGGGTCCTGAGCACTAGAGGGCTGTGTAGTAAAAGCGTGTTGTTGTTCTGGAGGCTTTGAGTTCAGTGGATGCTGGCACCTTTGGGCTTTTGGTCTCGGCATATTTTAATATGTACTCCCCCCTCTTTGTAGCTCATGTGGTAGTATTCTTTTGGGGATGCATCCTACCACAAGGGCCATGTAGCATAGTGGCCTTTGGAATTTGATCAACCTGGCCTTGAACTGTGACCTTGTAACTTATTGTGGGTGAATTATTACTGTGTCTAAGATTACACCCCCTGGAAAATAAGGAAACGTGTCACCCATTTCAGTAGATTGTCCTAATTACTAATTGAGGTGATGCAAGAAAAGCACTCAGCACACTGCCTGGTGCCATGGAAGCTAACATAGCCACATGGTATATTTAAAACAAGAACAATGGAAAAACCTGTAACTCAAAAGACAAAAAGCAATGAACACACACAAATGAACGAACGAATGATTGAAAAAACAATATGGTAAGATTAAGTGGGTTTCTGTCTGTGTACATCTCTCCAAGTTCCTGTCTATACAGATCTATACAAATTCAGAGCAGATTAAGAAAACATGAAAGAATCAGTGCAGTAGTTGAATGCGTGTGTAGTGTTTTGTTCTCAGCCGCGTTGGGGCAGGGGATGCAGTTGTATTTCTTGAGCAGATGGTCACTAACTGCCTTCTGTGCCCCGCAGCATGGTCGTGGTCATTGCTGGTCATGGTACCTCTGCAGTGCAGTGCAGAGGCCCCTGAGATTGTGAAATAAGAAACTTAAGTTCAAGATCATTAGAATTCTACATTGCATACATTAACATTATTCATGACACTGACCAAGAAACCTTCGGTACCTTCATAGCACTCCAAAAAGCACATTTTCAGTTTTTCAGAAGTAGTGGACCAAATTGCTGTTTATCTTCTTATGCAGTACAAACAGTTTAAAGGGGACAAGGATATTTTCTATTTTCCAGATAGTATTTCCATAAATTGAGCAGATTAAACATTTCTTTATCTTAAGAAGTCTGTGTTTTGAAGGCAAATCAGGTACCCTTAAAGATGGGTAGACTTTTGCACATGTTAGTGAAATCAGATAATGATACTCATGTTATTAACAGTAATAGTGACCATTTATTGAGTTTCTATTAAGGACCAAGTATTGTGCTACATGCTATACCTCTTTTACTAAATTCATGGCCAGAGAAATGTGTGTGGCCATAGCATGCCAGAATCCTGCTGTAGGAGTGATTGAGAAGCCCTGTTGGATGTTCTTGCTATAACTTTAAATGTAAAATGTAATAGGAAGCATGAGGCTTTTTCTTTTATTTCCTTTGTTTGATTGCATGTTCTTCTAGGTCTCTAAAAAAGTAGCAGATTTAATCCTTGAAAAACAGCCTGCTTATGTCAAGGTAGGATAATATTTGTTATTTTTCAAGTAAAATACTAAAAATGTTTGAGTGACTTATACTTGGAATTTGAAATATTTATTCTTCTGTCTGTAGTTTATAGCAACATATTAACTTTATTTGGGTTGTGTTTGTATATGGTTTTTTCTCTCATGTGTGGAATTTACCAAACTATGAGAAATGAAAGAGTTTTTATATCTGACTCTAATCTGTTTGGTTTTCCTAACTTGAGAACAGCCAATGAAAATTGCTTCTGTGTATTTTGTAACTCAGATCATCAACAGTGATTGCTCAGTCTGCCTTTAAAATATGATAAAATTGGAACTGTCTCTGTGAATCTGCCTTTTCATCAGAAAAACAGAGACTTCAGAATGCACTGAAATATCTGTGTTCAAACGAAGCCATTCACTGTAAAAGCATCTTAGCAAACAAATCATGTTTGTCGTATTTGTCATTATCTTGTGAAGCTCTCTTGGATAGAAACATTTAAACGAATATATTATTAGTATTTATTTATACCCATCTAAGAGAGGATGGGTCTAGATTTCCTTACAAGCAATACTGCCTAAATATTTTGTGACATGCCATGATGAAAATCAACTGAAAGTAGTTATTTAAAATGATTTTATGAAAAATATACCAACAGTGTACAAGTTCAGGTATCTTTGTTACTACTTTATCAAGCAGGCTTCTCTTTGAAACCCACTAAAGTTTCTGTTAGAGAACCATACCAATAAGAAAGAAAAATAGAATGCCTCACCCAGTAACCTACACCTCATCTTTCCATAGGAACTTGAGAGAGTTACCTCATTACAGACAGGTCTTCAGTTAGCTGCTGTTATCTGCACCAATGGGAGGAGGTATTGTGTTTGATGATGCTTTGTTCTTTAAGCTAAATGACATTTAAGAGAAACTGTCTTGGAAATTGATTTTTTTTTGTGGTGTCTAGAATGCCATTCATTAACTGAACATACATAATGATCTATAAACTGCACTAAGAACGTGTGTGGGAAATGTTTTAAAGTCTAGTTAGGGATTAAAAATATTAGTTTTTTTAAGGTTTTGTTTTTTTTTTAACGTGGGCCATTTAAAAAGTCTTTATCAAATTTATTACAATGTTGCTTTTTTTTTTTATGTTCTGGTTTTTTGGCCCTGAGGTATGTGGGATTTTAGTTCCCTGACCAGGGATCAAACCTACACCCCCTGATTTGGAAGACGAAGTCTTTAACCACTGGACTGCCAGGAAAGTCCCAAAATATTACTGTTTTTGTATTGCTTAAATCACTGCTTCTCAAACTGTCTTTGGTGAAGGACCAGCCTTTTTTTTTTTCCTTTTTAATTTCCAACATGTTACAGATTATTGTTTTTATAAAATGCCATGAAAACAAATTACTGGAATAAATTAAAAAAGACAACCAAACACATATAAAATACAGTCTCATTTTTTCCATTATCAGATTCATTAAGCATAAAATTACTGTGTCAACTTTTGCTCTGTGTGTTTAAAATTTTTTTGGTTAGATTCATCAAGCATAAAATTGTTTCGTCAACTTTTGCTCTACATGTTTCTAAATGCTTGTTCTCAATTTCTGTACTTTTCTTGTGATGAACTAGTAACAGTTTGAAGTTTGGTAGCAGACCACCTACCACTCTGGTAATGCTGATTTATTTTGAGGCATTGAACAGATCGGTCAATCTGTTCAATCGGTAGGAGGACTCACAATCCCCCAATTTAAGAGCAATCCAGGATACTGTCTCATTAACTGCCTAATTGTTCTATGTGTATAGTGTTCTTATGGTAGAAAAACTGAACTATTTATTGTTCATTTTTACAGACACTTGAATATTGCAAAGGAAGGTTTTACTCAAGCTAGTTTAGGCCTCCTTGCAAATCAGAGGAAACGTCAGTTGCTGATTGGACTTCTGAAATCTCTGAGAACTATAAAAACATTGGTATATGTCAGTTCCTTTTTAAAAAGTAAAACTTAATTTTATGGCTGAAAGAGGTTTTACCCTTGCATTTCTGTTATTTTTCAGCAAAGAACAGATGTCCGCTTAAGTGAAATGCTGGAGGTAAGTTTACAAGGCTTGGAAGTTTGGTGCTTCTCATAATATTAGAGAATTATTGTGGAAAAGCACAGATGTGTGTTTTTCTCAAATTGGTGTATGGTGTAAAGAGCATTTTTAGGCAGTAAAGGACCTTACTGTTTCTACTCTTACGCTTGTGCATCTCTTTCTATTGTCATGATAGACTTCATTCAGAAAAATTGATTGGGGGGAATGTGTGTAGCAATGTGGGAATGTTAATTTCAGTATGTTTCCATTGTATCTGGGCCCAAATAGCAATGACATTACCTTTTGCATGTAACATAAAGTAGTAATTTGAGGAAGAAGGCATGTATTAGTTATTTTGGTGTCTCATATATATATATACATATATTTTTTTAATTACTAATTTTTAAAGTTTTTGGCTGTGCTGGGTCTTTGCTGCTGCCCGAGGGCTTTCCCTAGTACGGCAGACGGGAGCTGCTGTTGGTTGTGGTGACTTCTCAGTTGCAGGGCACAGTCTCTAGATGCACGGGCTTTGGTAGTCGTGGCATGCAGGGTCAGCATTTGTGGCACGCAGGCCGAGCTGCCCTGCCTATGGAGTCCTCCCAGAGCAGGGACTGAACCTGTGTCCCCTGCATTGGCAGGCAGATTCCTACCCACTGGACCACTAGGGAAGCCCTCATATATGTACTGATTTTCTGAGTGAGCCATCTGTCTTCCCTTCGATGGCTTTCTTAGAATTTTCTATATACTTCTGTCACAAGGTTCACCACGGCCTAGTGTATTATGTGTGTTTCCCCATAATTCTCAAGCACCTTTAGGTAGGTACTTTGTCACGATCTCAGCATCCCCTATGGTTTGAATTGCCTTTGTTGAATTTAGATATGAACTTAAGGAACATTTTTTTTAAGGGTTTTCTGTTTAATCACTGTATTACTTCTAAACTATTACTACTCAACTATGTTTTGAGAAATCCATATGAAAAATTAATTTGGTAGTAAATTACTCTGTTTAGGTGTTAAAAATATCCTGAGGCCATTAATGAATATTTCACTTTATTTTCCAAATTTATAGAAGAATATTTATGGATTCATTGATGGTAAAACTGTTGAATGTTGATTGCAAGTAGAATAAAAATGGAAGGTTTTTTATATAAACATGACTGAAAGAAGATACATTAACAGTTAAAGAACTCCTCTCTGAAGCAGCTTATACTTCCTGTGTAGGCTTTACCCACATGTCATGGTCTCAGAGGGCTGTTACTGTGTATTTATGGGCACAAGATATTTTTTCCATGTTACATTTTAGGTCTGGAGCTAATTTTGTTACATTTTACATTTATTTATCTGTTGTTGGTATTATAATCTTTGAGAAGAATTAAAGCTTTCTGGTAGTGTAACTTTTAGATAGAGTTATGAACAGAGATCTATCCTTTTCAGAGGCTTTTATTTTTGGCTGCACTGGGCCTTCATCGTTGTGCGTGGGCTTTCTCTAGTTGCGGCAAGTGGGGCTACTTCCCAGTTGTGGTGCACAGGCTGCTCGCCGCCTTGGCCTCCCTCGTTGTGGAGCACAGGTCCTAGGTGCTGGCTTTCGTGGTTGCAGCCTGTGGGCTCAGGAGTTGTGGCTCTGGCGCCCTGAGAACGGGTTCAGTAGCCGAGGTGCCTGGACGTAGTTGCCCCACGTATGTGGATCTTCCTGGACCAGGGATGTAACAGTGTCCCCTGCATTGCAAGGCGGAGTCTTAACCACTGGACCACCAGGGAAGCCCCTTTACAGAGTCTTTTAAGAGAAATGTTTCCGTCCTAATGATTTCTGTTGTTGCTGTCTCCAGGAGGAAGACTATCCAGGAGCTATTCAGCTGTGCCTGGAATGTCAGAAAGCTGCCAGCACTTTTAAACATTACAGTTGCATAAGGTAAGCTAAAATCAAATTTTTCAAGCTGACTCTGCCGTCAGTTTTAATATAGGAGTTGTATAATATACAATGTTAATAAACACTGAAAATTACTAAGTGCTGTATCCTAGTTTAGCTTTCTTGTTTATAAATGGACAGTACAGTAAAATAGGACTTCCTTGGTGGTGCAGACGGTAAAGTGTCTGCCTACAGTGCGGGAGACCTGGGTTCAGTCCCTGGGTCAGGAAGATCCCCTGGAGAAGGAAATGGCAACCCACTCCAGTACTCTTGCATGGAAAATCCCATGGACAGAGGAGCCTGGTAGGCTACAGTCCATGGGGTCAAAGAGTCAGACGTGACTGAGCGACTTCCCTTTCACTTTTCACTTTCACAGTAAAATAACAATTCTTAAGGTTTGAAAGATCAGAGAGATACTTTTGAATCCTGTTTCCTGTGACATCATTGTAACTCTTTTTTTCATATTTTTCCCAGTCTTACTGATTTCATTTTTATGCAGTAGTAGAGAATAAATTCATCTGTTCCCGTCTTCATTGCACCTCTTGGGAATTCTTCCTCCTTACCTTTGCCCAGCTTATAAATATTGAGAGTGTTGTCACAGTTTGTTTTTCAGATCCAGATGGTTCAACTGTTGGCTCATCGTGATAAGAATTCTTTTGGAAAATTTAAAAGCAATTTCACCTTATGTAATTGTCATCTTTGTAATATTTAAGTGATTATGTAATTAATGTTTCATATCTTCTTTTTGTTAGTTAATGTATTACATCTTCTGTTTGTTTGTGAAATGTGCTGTCTAAAAATAGCTGCTGTACCTTCTGCTCTGAATGCTAACTTTTTTAATGGATTTGATCTGTTTACAGTAAAGCTTTTGCATTAGCTGTGACAGTACCTCGCAGGGGTGGGTGTGGGCTCTTATCCTCATATGTAATTTCTGTCATTCCTCTGAAACCATCAAAAATAAACATACAGTCTAAGGAAAATAGTGAGGTTTCCAGGCAAACTCAGTTTCAAATTAACTTCGTACTAATCTTAGAATGTAGCCTGTTAGTCTCTCATGTATGGAGATTCCAGCTGTCAGTGAGCAGGATGCCCTGATGTTCTAGGTGTTGATTCCTTGTATCTGAAAAGATGAAAGGATTGTGATAGAGTAAAACATTAACACAGCTTAGAATTAATTTTTTTTTGGTAATATACTCGCACGTAGGTCTCTACTGGGTATGGAATAAGTGGGTATTTCCCCCTAGAGATGATATTTTTTATGGTTTTTGTTTCTATAGGATTATGCATTTTGAAGCAATATACTTTTTATTTGATTAGGAAACACATAGTTGAGTAGTACCAGTGATATTTGGATTTTATCCTTTTTGACAGTGATTAACTGTCACTGTTAAAAACTTGATTATGTCATTTATATTTATTAGGTTGGATGAATAGAGTGTTAGCTCTAGTGTGTGAATATACTTGAACCATTTCTAGCAGGGCCTTTTGGCTCCCGAAGAAGCATAACAACCATTTGCTTCATTTTGTGATGATATGTCTCTTAGACTGAGAAAAGTTTATTTCTGGTTGGCTTAAAGTAATTCAGGCAGCTATATATCAATTGAATGCTTATTATATGCCAGGTACTTTGTTTTGGAATTGGTTGTATAGTGATGAATCACATAAAATATAATCAGTATAATCCTTGGTCTTCAAGAGTGCTTAGTCCGTCAAGATGGACTTGGATTGAGGTAGGCACAAGTAAGATGGGGCTTTAGAGAGAAGGAAATTGAGCATATCGTAGAAACATTGGGGTCTAATTCTCCTTAGGAGTCAAGACTAAGGAGGATCTGAAGGAGGTGCAGGAGGGTTTAGCTAAATGAGAGGATGCAGGGTTGTGGATATGAGATTATGGGTATTTTGATGAAGTTCTTTGTTGCAGAGATGTCAGGCAAAATGAGGACTGAAATTATCTATTGTATTTATAGCAACAAAGAAATCAGAGTTGATCTTGTTGGGGACAGATTTGGTTGAAGTGTAAGTGTGAAAGTGAAGTCACTTAGTCTTGTCTGACTCTGTGACCCCAAGGACTGTAGCCTACCAGGATCCTCCGTCCATGGGACTTTCCAGGCAATAGAACTGGAGTGGGTTGCCATTTCCTTCTCCAGGGGATCTTCCCAACCCAGAGATCGAACCCAGGTCTCCTGCATTGTAGGCAGACGCTTTACCATCTGAGTCAGTGCAGAATGAGGAAATTTTATAAAGAGGAAAGATGTGGAATTGAGAGGGAGAAACCTGAGTGTTTGAAGATCAGTGGGAAAGAGTGAGAGATTGAAAAGAAGAGAGAACATCCTAATGAGGCTTTGTAGGGATTATAGGAGAGATTGACTTTGAAAAGGTCCACTGTTCTTTTATAATAGGAAAGAATGAATGTGGAAATTTGGTGGCAAGAAACTGAGATGACATGTTGATACTTTATTTTTTCCATTAATTGTAATGTTTACTTTAGCTTTGTTAAAGTAAGTATCTTACTTGATGAGAGTTAGCTATAAAAAATGTTTTTGAAAGAAGCCCTTGTTTGGTTTTTTTTTCAGGTTGGCATGAGGTAGCCTCTAAGCACTTTTTCATTTTTAGGTATATAGTGATGTGTGGAGGAGGTGTGACTAGTTATCTCACCTGGTGAGAAGTTTTGAAATTGAAAAATCTGTAATGCTGATTTAAGTTAACCCTTGTTTTATTTTAGATGTACAGAATGTAAGAGCCATGCTGTGTTAACATATGTGAGTCGTGCATGCAGTAATAAGAAAAGGTTGACGTATTCTGGAAATAGAAAAAATAGATGCACAGATACATTGAAATGTCCTAGGGAATTCATTGTGGTGGGATTTTTACCTTAGGGTTCCTGAAAGTTTGCTAGAATTGTGTTTTTAACTCGGCATTTCAGTGACGCTGAACTGCTTGGTGGTGACTGAGGCCCCGCAACGCTTCTTCTCTTCCACACAGAGCAGGGTTTCCTTCTCCCAGTCCCCTTCTCGAATCTTCACCTCTTAGGCCACCCATTTGCTCCTAGTTGGGAGAGCCGAAGCTTGTTCACTTCTTGTAGATCATGCGATGTAGGATACAGCTATAGAGTTAATTGATTTATAGGAGAGATTCCACAAAAATGAAAGGAATTTTATTAATAATTTCCTTTTAATTTTGTGTGTATTAATTAGATGTACCTTTCTTATTCTGTGCGTTTTCTTCATTTTGCTCTTTTTCCTCTGGTCTTATCAATACAGTCAGTATTGAACCTGTTCTTGAGCGCTCTCCTTGGTCAGATGTAATTCACCAGCACTTTAATGTTCTTTCCATTTACCTGGAGCTGTTAATTTAGCCAAAGACAAGATTTAGTTTTTTGCTTAGATCTGAGTGATTCAAAAGTGAAAAATCATTTGACACTCTGGTAACCATAGAATAGTAATTAATTTCCAACTGAATTCACACTCATTTTCTTTAACATTTAAATTTATTTTGTATTTCTATTGATGACTAGAGAATCAAGAAATAGTCTTCTTAGCAGTGTCCTGTAAGAGAACCATTCCATGAATCCAAGTGTTTCGGAATTATCGGGTAATGTTTGGTGCTTTTGTTTTTATGTTGCAGGCAAATTCATCTGTACAGTGGGTCTATTCATACACTTCTTAATTTTTCCTTAGTAGATTATATGTTCCTCTTTTCTTTCCTGGTCACATTGCTCCTTTGTTGGAAATAAAGTATTGATAGAAGGCAGAGACTCTGTGACCTTAGGAGTAGATTACATGGAACAAGTGAGGGTGAACTCTTATGATTCTGAAAGTAGAAAAAAAAGAGAACTCACAACTTTGCTTCTGCATAAAAAGGCACTGACTGTATGCCTAATAAATTCAGGTTACATGACTGTGTAGTTTAATACGTGACGTACCAAGTAATTCGGTATCTTGCTTGATGTGCTGTGTTTCAGCATGAGAGAGTTATATGGTTGGTATTTATCAGGAATAAGAATCAGAGTGTGTTTATCTTAAAGTATGCCTGAATAAAGCATTTAATTTCTTTATCACTTGAAATTTGTCTAAATTAGTTTCATGAAAAGTTATTAAAAGTCAAAACTTCTTTATTGCTTTTTAAAATTTCCTTTGAAAGAAACTACCTGAATGAATCTTAGAGCATGCTAGATTTTGCACCAAAAAGTTCATGTACCACCTGAACTAGTTTTGAGTATTGCACTTTAACATAGACAGCTGTATTTAATTTCTGATGATCTTAAAATATCCTCTTTTCCCCCTCAGATGATGATCTTGGCAGTTGAAAGAAAATTGTAGGTTGCAGACCCTTAGATCATCGAATAATGAGCACAGCCTTTAGGTACAAGTACAGTAGTACTTGGCTCCCCAGGTAAAGAATCCACCTGCCAAGCAGGAGACTTGGGTTTGATTCCTTGGATCGGGAGGATCCCCTGGAGAAGGAAATGTTGGCAACCCACTCCAGTATCGTGCCTGAGAAATCCCACGGAGAGAGGAGCCTGGCGGGCTATAGTCCATGGGGTCTCGTAGAGTCAGACGTGCCGTAGTGACTAAACAACAAACAACGGCAGTACTAGGGACTGTTCTTCTCCTGTGGCCCTGGAGGCCATCTTAGCAAGCAGTGTCTGCTCTCTCTTTCTCTACACTCAGGCGAGGGGAACCCAGGAGCCTCGCCTGGAGTGATGAGCAGTGAGTTTCTGCAGGATCACCGGGCCTGCTCAGCTAGACTCCCATGTAGGTCTGGAGTCCCTGTTGCTTGATTTGCTTGGGCTGTTACTGACACCATGGCATTCTGACACTACCTCCTTCCTTCATCTTTTACCTCTTTTTCCTCTGCCTTCCTCCTCCACGCAGTGCCATTTAAAATCAATGTAAAGTGAAATCTACATAAAACGTGATACTTGAACCAAATGGTCTTAAAAGGTGAAAGTTCTTCTTTCTGCCCACCCATCCTTCCCTCTCCTACTCCCTAGGGTAAACCAT